CTTCTTCTAAGATTATCAAGCGTAAGAATGCTGCCAAGTACCGCTGTCCATATGAAAAACGCCACCTTCGGTGGAGCTGACGTCCTTCATACAGCCTTCCAAGGGAAACCATTGCTTAACGAATCTGTAAGACTTTGGTAAAATAACCTCACCTCAAACACCCCTCTAGAACCCCCCATCCACATCATCTCATCCCTTCCTTCCCCCTCCACCCCTTGACTATATATTAATCCCATTAAATATGTAAATTCCATCATCTCCCAATCATTAAAGTTTCGACGAAAGCGCACATCCCAACTAGCTCTCCCATTCTCTAACTGAAAATAATCTGCAACCACAACAAACTTATTCTCAACCATCCTGAAAAGCCGAGGGAACCTATGAGCCAATACCACATCCCCACACCATACATCCTTCCAAAACCTCACATGCTACCCATTCCTTACTCTAAACTGTATCCGCTTAGAAAACTTGTCCCATCCCCGCCTAACACCTTTCCAAGAACCCATACCTGCTGATGAAGGCACACCTCTAGCCATCCAACCTCCCTCCTCTTCCCCAAACCGACAAGAAATAATACGCCTCCAAAGCACAGACCTGTCGCACCCAAATCGCCATAACCATTTCCCTAACAAAGCTTTATTAAACATATCCAACCTTCGAATTCCCAACCCTCCTCTTGTAAACCCCCCAACAGAAAGTTCCCCTGAATCTTGTTCAGTCTACTAATCACTGTTCTTGGAATTGGAAATAGAGACATGAAAATACGTAGGAAGATTAGAGAGAGTACTTTTCAACAATGTGAGTTTACCCCCTTTCGACAAGTACTGCTTCTTCCACCCGGATAACCTCTTTTGGAACCGTTCCACTCCCGGATCCACTGGAACAATCACACTCTTGCCAATATTAATTTTCATCCCTGAGACAACTTGAAAACAGGCCAAAACACACCGCAAATGCCTCAAATGATTCACACTCGCATCACAAAAAACGATAGTATTATCAGCAAACAGCAAGTGAGATGCAACAATCTGGTTTGGCGCACGCCCCACCAAAAAACCTTGGATAAAGCCCAGTACCTCTGCCTTTTTCATGAGTTTGCTCAAAGCTTCCATTACAATAATGAACAGAAAAGGGGACAATGGGTCCCCCTGATGTAAACCTCTGAAACTTGGAAACCTGCTGGTGACCCATTCATTAAGATAGAGAAACAAGCCGACGAAATTCATTGGTGTATCCACCCTCTCCATTTAGCTCCAAACCCCATCCTCTCCAACAAATACAATAAGAACACCCAATTCACATGGACTTGACTTTCCGTGGAAGACCATTTGGCGCTCTATGGCTCCAACTCGGGTGGCATTTTTTGTTTGGACCGCTGTTTGAGGTAAGATTCTGATGATTGACAATTTGAGGAAAAGGGGAAATTGTCTTGTCAATTGGTGCTGCCTATGCAAGCAAGATGGTGAGTCAATTGATCATATCCTCATGCATTGTCCCGTGGCGCACGACTGTTGGAATCTTATTCTTGGGTTGTTTGGCTTGCGTTGGGTAATGCCACGTTCTTCTAAGGAGTTGATTCATGTTTGGAGAGGATGTCGTGTGCGGAGAGATGTACGTGATTACTGGAGAGTAGTTCCACATTGCGTTTGGTGGTGCATCTGGAAAGAGAGAAATAACAGAATGTTCGAAGGGAAGGAGTCGTCTACGGTGACGCTGAAACTTTTTATTATTCGCTCTCTTTTTAATTATGTCAAGAGGAGTTCTTGCTCCACTTCCGATGATTTAATTACTTTTTTGGATTCTTTGGCGCCTTAGCCTCGATTCCAATCTTGTAATGGGACGCGTTTCCCTTTTGAACTCTTTTTTATTTAATTTTTACTTATTAAAAAAAAAAAAAAAAAAAAAAGGAACACCCAATTCACATGGTCATAGGCTTTCTCAATATCCAATTTACACACAATCCCCAGCTCACCATTCTTGACCCTTGCATCAATACATTCACTAGCAATAGGAACCGGATCAAGAACCTGCCTTCCTCCAACAAACGCATTCTGTGACTCCGAAATGACCCCATCCAAAACTTTCCTTAGCCTAATAGCCAAGATCTTCGCAATAATCTTATAAACAGAACCCACCAAACTAATTGGTTTGAAATCCTTAGCTTCAACCGCTCCACCCTTTTTAGGTATGAGAGTAATGAAAGAAGCATTCAGACTCTTCTCAAAACAACCTTCCTCAAAGAAAGCATGCAATACTCTCATCACATCTGCTCTCACCACCTCCCAATTCTTTTGCTAAAATGCCATTGTGAACCCATCCGGCCCCGGCGTTTTATCTCCGTCATAGCTCCTTAGAGCTTCCAACACTTCCTCCTCCCCAAAAGGCCTCTCCAACCCCACCCTATCCTCATCAGAGATTGTATCAAACTCAATATCATCCAACCTCGGTCTCCAAGAGACGGACTCTGTGAACATCTCCTGATAATATGCCGCAAAACCTGTCCGAATCTCCTCTTCAGTTTCAGCCATAACTCCATCAAAACATATCCTCCCCATGCTGTTCCCTCTTTTATGAGCATTAGCTAAGCGGTGAAAAAACTTAGTATTCCGATCACCTTCTTTAAGCCACAAAGCTCTAGATTTCTGTCTCTACGAAACTTCCTCCATCACTACAGTCTCTACAAATTCAGCCTTGCACTCCTCCCTTCTGCTCCTTTCCAACCCAGAAATCCCCTCAACCCCTTCCTTCCTATCCAGCTTTGAAATTTCCATAAGAAGCAGATTTTTCCTCTACTCCAGTTTGCCAAACACATCCTTATTCCAAACCTTGATATCTTCCTTTAGGTGTCTCTGCTTATATATTCAGTTGATCGGACGGAGATAAATACACATGTTCATGATGAGAAGTTTAACCTTCATGAACATACATAATTTATCGAAGGATCTGTCAGGGGCTGATCAAAAATTTATGGTAAAATCTATATGGATCAAGGCATTATAGGTAGCATATAAAAATTTTTACTGGTCTTTCATATCTGTTGAAAGAGATCCCCATTGATATTTTAAAATGGACTGAGTATGTTGGTGGAAAATGCTACCTTATCGATTACATTATTGATGCTCATTTTGAATATACTTATGCTTATTTCTTGAAAGTTACATTGTGTTTTGTATTTATCACTTCTTCGTCCAAAAGTGATATATTTGTCAAAATGAGCTACTCCATTAATGGTATGTTTCCATTTATGAAATGCTTCCATTGGTAAGTTTTTTTGATTCATGATATTTTATAAACACGATTACATGAATCTATGACCATTGATTTGAGGGATAGCCAATGGCTAATCAAATAGTGAGATAAGGCTCATGTGGATCAATGCATTTTATGCAGCATGTGATATTAAACAGTCTTTCACGACTATTAGATGACAATAGTCTCATGGATTTGATCCATAATGACATGTTTGAAATGAGCAAATTATTCTCATGAAAAAAAAAAAAAAATTGCTATGTTATCATTTTTATTGATGATACTAATTTCTTTTAAAGCTCCTTAACAGAGGCATGATATTTTGAAAAGGCAATTATTGCAGCTGCATTAAAATGCATCTTCACTAGATTCCACAGGATTTCTGGCATCATTAGCTGCCTATAAAATTCTGAAGCTGAAATTTTGGCATGGAGGATCTTCGAGAGGCTAATGTGATTCTAGTGATCAGTATTTTGACAGATGGTCTAACAATTTTGCAGTCCAACTAATTAAGAGGATTTTGAAAAATGTTTACTTATTTTTTAGATGCTGCAATCTTTGCTCTTATTGATCCCAGATTGGAGCTAGTTTGCAATCAAGGCAGTGCAGTAAATTAAATTGAGAAAATAGAAGAAGTAGACTAGAGGACGGGGATGAGAAAACAGACAAGAGAGGGGAGGGGGGGGGGGGGGGTGGGTGGGTGTGAAGGGGTGGTGTGAATAGATAGGCAGGATAGACTGAATGGTTGAGAAACAGGAATGGGATAAGGAACAAAACATACAGAAAGAACCGAGGGAAAGCAATAATCAATAATCTCCAAAACTGAATTATTTGATTACAAAGGAGCCTTTATATAGGCAAAATCATAACAAAACCGTGAATAATAAAATACTAAAATGTCCTTAAAATTAAAACATTACTAAATATAACCATAAGCATAAATAAAATAATTCACTAACATCCCAAATTCTTTCTTTGCCTCTTCTCCAATGATAAGTGCGAGTCATATGTGACTAGCTCTTGGGTTATGCCTTGTTCTTCATCATATATATTTCATGAGTGGCAGGAAAAAATACTGAAATAACATTTACACTACGGGAAAAGGAGATGATTTTTAAATAAGAGTTTTACAGTTCATACTGTCTAGAGTTAATGGTTTGGGTCAAGGTTTTGCCAAGCCTATTTTTTGGCTGAACAGGGTTCATATAGCTAACCCTAATAGTTGGGACAAGGCTTTGTTAAGTAGCTTAAATTTTACAAAGTTTAGCATGTTGGTGTTGCTTGAAATTTTCACACCAAGTTATTATTTGTGTGTTGAATATGTTTTCATAGTCATATTTAACCTGTTTCTGTGCTTCTAGATGCTATCCTCTTTTTGTTTCCCAACTTCCTTCTTGTCAATGTTTCCTGTAACCATAATGTGGCAGTTCAATGGAAGCCCTGTTACAATTTTTGTTTGTTTTTTAATTTTTTTCCTTCTATTTTTCCCTGATAGTATGTTAGTCCATTATAATTGATTAAATATTCCTTTTGTAGTTCTGGCTTCCAGATTTCTTCTGGTCAATCTATCTTGTAATCATGATGTGGCCATTTCGTGATTATGTGATTACTTTTCAATTTTTCAATTTTTTTATTTTTTATTTTTTGTTGGAGAATGTAAAATAGCCAAATATATTACCTATTTTCAGTTTTAGTTGCATTTGCTAGTGTAGTATATTCAGTACTGTTCTGATATTGTTCTATTATAGGTGGGGTCAAGATACCTTGACCATTTGATTGTGGAAAGGAAATATGCCGAAGCCGCGTCTTTATGTCCAAAATTGTTAGGAGGATCTGCTTCAGCATGGGAGAGGTACTAACTATTATGTAATATACACTCAGCTGTAACTATATTTTGAATTACTAGAAGTGGGTTTTTTTCACAGATGGGTTTTCCACTTTGCTCATCTCCGCCAGCTTCCGGTACTGGTTTTGTATATACCAACAGAAAACCCTAGGTTACGTGATACTGCTTATGAGGTTCGCAATCTACAGTATTTCCTACAAACTTATATTTGAATCTTTATGTCACCTTTTTGGTGTCCCAATTTGAGAACAAGTTCTAAGTTGTTTCTTAGCTACAGGTTGCTCTTGTAGCTCTGGCAGCAAATCCATCTTTCCACAAGGATCTCGTAGCAACTGTTAAATCTTGGCCACCTGTAATTTATTCTGCATTGAATGTTATCTCTGCCATAGAACCTCAGCTTAATACTTCATCCATGACTGATGCGCTCAAAGAGGTCAGTCTTAATCATTTTATTTGTCATGTTTGTTATGAGTTTTGTTTATTTTGTATCTTATTAATTATGTGTTTCTTTACCATGTTAGGCACTGGCGGAGTTATATGTAATCGATTCACAGTATGAGAAAGCTTTCATACTATATGCGGATGTAAGTGCTCTACATGCACATTCATGCACAAATGTAGCCGTCACTAGAAGTAGTTATACCCCATGAAATGTGCACATAAGATGTTCTTTGAGAAAGCAAGTTGTCGCTGTATTCCCTGTTTTGATTTCCTTCTTCTTAGCATTGTTTTTATTGCCTTGCTTTTCAGCTTATGAAGCCTGATATATTTGAATTCATCGAAAATCATGACTTACATGACGTAGTTCGTGAAAAGGTATGATTTTTATCAGTTCAGTTGAAAGTATTAGTGAAGCTGTATGGTTCTTTTGGAGTGGTTTTACTGATATTTTCATTATCAGGAGAACAAAGTCATATCTATATCTAAAGAATTCTCAATATCATGACAATTGAAAACTCATAATATTTTTCATTCTTCCAAGTTGTTCATATTTAAAGTATTTGTTGGATCTGATTTGTTTTACACGACTCTTTGTTCTATTGCCTATGTATTTTCAGGTTGTTCAACTGATGACATTGGATTGCAAACGCGCAGTTCCATTGTTGATCCAGCACAGGGAGTTAATTACTCCACCTGAAGTTGTTTCGCAACTTTTAGCTGCAGGGAATAAGTGTGACTCCAGATACTTTTTACATCTATATCTGCATTCACTATTTGAAGCTAATCCACATGCTGGAAGGGATTTCCATGATATGCAGGTTTGAAGAAGAGACTTAAAATTTTATAATACAATGCCTTTTAAATTATAGTTGGTTTTCTGTGTTTTAACTTCTTTATCTTCTCTGAGTTCGAGTCAGAAAGGCTTGTCATCAATGTCTCGTTTCTCATAAATATAGGGTTGAAATGACGAAAACACCACTTATATAAACATGAAATGATGCTTTCATGAATTGACCTGCAATGGATCATGATCAATAATATGCTTATGAGGTCCACTGGTGAATGCACCTTCTAGACAGAATTCACTGGGTTCTGTTGGGTTAAGTTTTCCTTCTTCTAATTTGGAACTATATGAGCTTTCACAATTATAGTTAAAAAAATCTGTTCATGTTGAAATTTGCTCCTGTGTTGAACTGTTAGTCTTTCAGATCATGAGAAACTGTTTAATGTGTCAGTGTTATCATTGTCTTGGTCAAAGCTTTCATGTCTTGTGTATTAGTGGCATATTGATATTTGGTTCATTCAATGTGAGGCACCAGTCTCTGCAACTTTGCTTTTGCATCTGCTTGGGAGATATGTAAAATAAATTTATCTTGTTAATAGTATGCCGTTCTGTTGCATTTGGTAAAATGCAAAACACCCCCTTGAACTATCAACTTTTTGCAAACACCCCTCTACCATGACAAAAATCTCTTGAACTATAAAAAATATACAAATTAGTCTACAACCTAAGACTACTGTTACTTTTAAGGTCAAATTTTAAACAACGTTTTTTGTTTTCCTCTCTTCTCTCTTGAGTTCCTCTGTTTCTCTTCGGTCCTATTGCAATTTACAGTCTTCTACTCCGGTGTCTTTTGAGATCTGCTTTTTTGCTTCTTTCTTCTGGTTATCTTGGGTTCTTCAATGAGAGCTCTGGATGGTCAGAGGTTGTCGTTTCTTGAGGCTGCAAGGCTCCCTCGTCTGGATCTGCAAGGAAAAGTGGAGAGCGTGACCACAAATAGAGGCCATGTTCTCAAGATGGATGAACACAGTACCACCATACAGGAGACGATTCTCAAATCGTGCCTTGTGGGCAGCTTCGACAGAGATGTGGGTTCCTTAGAGGAGATGGAAGTGTGGGCTACGAAGACATGGAGAATTTCATGTGGAGTACCAACAGCCTGTAAATGCATGGAGTACCAACAGCCTGTAAAATTCCTCAGCCAAGACCCCTTTTGGCCAAAAAATCAACACAAATGCAATGAATCAACACACAGCCACCAAGCAATCTTCTCTAAGCCTTAAATGACAACCCTTTGAAGAGATGTCAACAAAAAAAATAAAATAAAAAAAGTTCAAAACTCTAGATCGCAAAACATAGGGCTGAAATTCCGAAAATGTTTCGAAAAAGGAAAACAACCCTCAAACAGCATCAAAATGCAACGAGAATACCACTATAATTACCAGAAAATTCAGGCGAGCCAGTTGGTATGGTCCTCGACCTGTATATGCTGAATTCAGCGGACGCTGACGACAACCTCTTCTGATTATGGGCAGCAACTGAATGTGAATGAGTTCTGGGCTTGATTTGGCTCTGATACCAAGTTAGAGTTGAAGAAACTAGGCTTTGTAGAAGTAGAGAACAAGAAGAAGAGGAGGAGGAAAAGGGAAGATTGTTCTGTGAAAGGTGAGAGTCAAAAGTTAGGTTTGCCTCACACCTCTCACCAATTATATATTAAGAAAACTAAAATACAATAGTGCCCTTGATGAATAATAGAAATAAACTCTCTAACAATATATAACAAGATGACAATTATGTGTACAAAAACACCTTTTATTTGTTTGTTTGTTTTTAAAATTTATTTTTTATTTTTTATGAGAAACGCAAGTAATAAATGGTGTGATATGTTTAATTGATGGTTTGAGAGTGAAGGAGAGAGATTAGGGTGATGTTAGATTGTTGAAGGAAGAGAGACTTGAGTGGTTGGTAAGTGGGTTTTCATAGGATAGAAGAATACGCTTGGGGAAGTGCATGATTAAGTGGCTGGAGAGTGTGAAGGCACTCCTTTTTAATGATAATGGTTGGATGACATTTCTCAGGTGACACATTGTGGTACTGAAAGGTGTCTCACACAATGTCGTAAAAGATGGTGCTGTCTTGGGCCAGATGCACTAGACGGGTCGCGATGCTTAGTGAGATGACATAGCCTCTCTTAAATGTTGTACCGTGTTGCTTATTCAGATGGTCACCTAATGAGGCATTAACTCTTTGGTAAAATCATTGCCATCTAGGCTGCAACTTCAAAACACGTATGTGCGCAAATGCTAGACATAATAGTTCTCATGTCATGGGTGATCCAGTTCAATCAGTGCTCAAACTCAGTTGGATTGAGCTGTTCTCCTGCTGGCTTGATCTCTGATCTGGGTTTGAAAGTATTGCAAATGTTGCTAGTGTTACTTAAGGTTTCATTATATTTTCACTTCCTAAATTGCTCGTCTGGTGTACTTAATTGTATTTATGTGCAGTTATGTTGCATGCATTATCTAACAGCTGTGCTTCTGTTTATTAACTATAACAGGTGGAGCTTTATGCAGACTTTGATCCTAAGATGCTGCTTCCTTTTCTTCGTAGTAGTCAGCATTACACACTTGAGAAGGTTTGCAGAGTGAATGGTGGTAAATTATAATCTTCCATAATTTATATTTTGTGTTGACATTATTATTCCTGAAATTTAATCTCAGGCGTATGAGATTTGTTTAAGAAAAAATCTAGTGAGAGAGCAAGTTTTCATCCTTGGCAGAATGGGAAATTCAAAACAAGCCCTTTCAGTTATCATAAATAAATTAGGGAATATAGAAGAGGTATCTTTTCATATATCCCTTACGGTTTTCTCTCTGTATTCTTGTTCTGAATTTTAGTAGTGATGGTTAAGTGTCATAACTTTGTACAGGCTATAGAATTTGTGGGTATGCAGCACGATGATGAACTTTGGGAAGAATTGATCAAAGAGTGTATTAACAAACCTGAAATGGTATTATTATATACAGATTTTGAAGATTAAATGTGCATGAAAACATTATCAGTGTGTATCCAAATGTTACTTTTAGAAGTCTTCACACATGTTTCCACTAATTGGCAGGTAGGCGTGTTGTTGGAGCACACTGTGGGAAATCTGGATCCTCTCTATATTGTAAATATAGTGCCAAATGGTTTAGAAATACCTCGGTTAGTATGATCACAAACTGTTCGTGTTACTTCTAGCAGTTCGTATTATTATTATTAATTATTATTGTTAATAATAATAATAATAATAATAATAATAATTGTTGTTGTTGATAACTTCCAGTTGGTTTCATATGTTTTCCCCAAATAGAATTGCTAATTTTCTACAGCAATTTGATTATAGATCTTTCTTCAGATGGTGTTGTCTGAAATTTACAACTTATCTTTTGGTCTATAAATTATGAATGGTTCAGTATGGAATTGGCGTTCTATCATTTGGTGGTGGATATTGCCTCCTTATTTTGAGTTAACCATAGTTACATCATTAGGAGCTTGATCAATGGATATTGATATCTGTAGCAAGTACTAGACAACTAGGCGTGAAAATGAAGGTGATAGGGTAAGGACCGGAACCTAGTTTCTAACAGAGATTTTGCGCAGAGTCCGTGATCTAGACCTAGAAGGGAGGTGAATAGGTCTTGTTGGTTAACTTGTTTTTTTTTAACTACTTTTTAGATTAAACTAAATTACCAAATAATGTAAATAGAAAAAATAACACTAAGTCTCAACTCTCAATAATCAATCAAACCATCACGCCTTACTCATAACACATCCAATCATAAGCAATATAAAGTAAAATAAACATAAGGAGACACAAAGATTTTTATTTGAGAAACCTCAAAGGGAAACTCCTGGGATCCAGTCTAGTCAGGTCAAATCCACTATAAGAAAGAGATAAAAGTAGGTGTACAAGTCAAATACCCAGTACCCCAGTGATACCATGTCATTTTGCTGACATGGTTTCGCCAACCAATTATATCTTGACATGCGGTGTGGGACTCATCAAAATACATGCATAAATGCATTTGAATTAAATGTCTTGTAAACAGACTACTTGTATGTGGACCCAATATACTTATATGATGGATTTAATAAATTTGGTGATACTGAAGAAACCAAGAAAGGAGGGGAGTGAGTGAATTGGTTCGTTTCTAATTTTCTTTCTTGTAGAAGAATGTAACTTTCAAGCTGAATCAATCAACTAAATTAGAACACAATCAACACAAATGTTTGTAACACGGTAAAACCCCCAAAATAGGGGAAACATCCACGAAGCCTTTAGGCTTTAACAAAGGTGCACTATGAGTAAAGGACACTCAACTCTCTGTAGTTCAACTTTACCTCTAATGAAATTTTGAGCAATTAAAAAAGTGTGGAGTTTTTGATAGCAGGCCCTTGGTGCGTGCTTGAGGCCATATAGAGCTTTCTTCAATTCGTAAACATGAGAAGGATGATTTCCAAGGACAAAACCTTCTGCTTGCACAACATACACCACTTCATGAAAATCTCCATTTAAGAGTGCTGACTTTACATCCATTTGATATACCTTGACACCTCTTGAGCATGCAAATGACAGCATCATTCTTATGGATTCTAATCTGGCAACAGGGGCAAAGGTTTCATCATCATCTAATCTAGCCACTTGAGCAAAATCCTTGCATACTGGCCTTGCCTTATTCCTGATAACCTTTCCATTTTCGTCTAGCTTGTTCCTGTACATCCATTTGATACCAATGACAATTTTGTTTCTGGATGAGGCACAAGTTCCCATGTACTGTTTTTCTCTATTTGACTCAGGTCCTCCTTCATAGCTTCAATCCATTCACTTATGCCCTTGGCTTCCTTGTAGCAATTTGGTTCTATAGCTGAAAGTAGAGCAAAGTGGCTAGTGTCCCCCCATCTTCTAGGATTTTCTTTTTGTTCTTCTCATAACTCCAGTTTCCTTATTGCCAATAATGTTTTCTTCTTGAACTTCTTTTTGAAGATTTGGATTATTAGACTGTGTCTGATCCCTTTTCTGATCTGTTGTGTCTGTAGAAGATAGGTTATAATTGATCACTTTTAGCCTTGGTATTTTCTTGAGTTATGTTCTTGATCATCAATTCTAACATGAGTAGATTCAACCAGCTTATTTGTCCTTAGATTATAGCATCTGATTGCTTTGCTCTGCGGAGTAACACAAAAATATTCCTGCATCAGATTTTGGTCAAATTTACCCAGATTATCTTCATTATTGTAGATGAAACATCTACTAGCAAAGACTTTGAAGTAGTTGACTAAGGCTGCTTTCCCATGCCACAACTCATAAGGAGTCTTGGTTGACATGGGTCTAAGAAGGACTCTATTTAGAATGTGCACAGCTGTATTCACAGCTTCAGTCCAAAAGCCCTTAGATATATATCCCTTAATCAAGCAACATAGTTCTAGACATCTCTTGCACTGTCCTTTTCTTTCTTTCTACCACTCCATTTTGTTGAGTTCTTGCGGCAGAAAACTTCTTTTTGATTCCATGATCTGTACAATAGTCCTTAAATTCGTTGCTTGCAAATTCTCCACCAAAGTCAGATTTCAATCTCTTGATCCTGCAGTTTTCTTCATTTTCTACAATATTCTTGAATTTTGTGAAATGAGTTAGTGCCTCTGATTTATCTTTTAAAAAATAAACCTATGCCATTCTACTAAAATCATCATTTAAGAGCATAACGTATTTGCTACCACCAATACAATGTAACCACACTAGGTGCTTTAACTTGTTAAATGCCCTTCCAATCTGTGAGCTTGCTATGCATTGTTAGACTTATTCCTTTCAAGTTTTTGAGGCCATTGGTAATGTTACCGGATACATAGTATCTGAGCATTGTTCCAGAGATGCCCTGGGTTTATGTTTCTCTGTCTAGATTGGTTAACCTGCTTTGTTTGTCAGTGCAAGTTTGCGCTCTATGGTTTCTGTTTGTTTTGTCTCTCTCTGAATGTGAGATGGGTCGTATATGAGGGATGGTGTAGGAACTTGATTTTAATTGTTGAACTCGTTTCTTTACAGCTTACCTTTAGGGAAAAACTGATAGTCTAACAGAAGGGATGCTTGAGGATCTTTTTACCGTTGACATCTTAAGGAAGGACCTAAAGATTAGCACCTCTCTCCTGAAACCTTCCACCACTATGTGTTCTCTTTTCTTTTCTTTTCTTTTCTTTTTTACCTTGTCAAGAAACTGACTCTCACACCTACTTTGCTCCTTAGGAGACTTGAACCCTCGACCTTCTACTTTGAAAGGTGAGGAAGTACCTCTAGGCTACAGCCCTTCATGTTCACTATTTGTTCTCTTTTCCTTTTGGGAAGGCTAACCTGTAACCGATAAGAAAATGCAGACATTGATTTCAGCTCCCAGTCTTGCAAAACTATGCTAAATAGGCATTACATGCAACATCCATCTTTGAAACACTTCGATAATTCATTATAGAACACTCCTTTATCTATTGCTGCAAAATGCTTTCATCCTTTATTTATTTATTTATTTTTTTTTATTTTTTTTATTTATTAATTGGTCAAGCCCAAGGAATGGGTATTTCTAATTTTAGAAACACAAATTTTAGAGCCTTGCCATTACACCAAACAATACATAAATACCTCTCAACCCAATAACTTTACTTATAGTCCACACTCTATTACTCCTAATGCTATACTCCTTTCCATCACCCTTTTTCACAAGCTACATGGCCTCCACGTATGTGCATTGCTTACCCAAAGATTTGTCAAACAACCTCTGCTTCCTAGTACCTACACCCCATACATTAATGGGAGCGTAAACAACATTCGATCCATCAAATGGTAGTTAAACTTTTATCATAACCCTTCCACAGGAAATGCTTCTGAAACATTTCTAATCTCCCAGCCACAGAGGGAGGACCAGTGAAGTTGGGATGGATATATATTGGCAAACTGGGAAAGGTAAAATTATGGTTAGTATATCTCCCTGGGAACTCTGCTTGTCCATTAGTCATCCTTTTTCCTTTAGAAGACAAAATGAAAGGCAATCCCTAGCAGGATGAAGTGAAGGAATTCAATCCTATACCCCAGACTAACGGCCAAGCTTTCCACATCCTTTACCTTTCCGTTGTGATTTAGTTCAATGTTGGCTAAATTTTCTTTGAATCACTAAACTCCCCAAAAACAAGGTGAGACAAATGTCAATTTCCTGAGCTGTGCCACCTTTGCCCTACAGAAAATGATGGTTGTTACGACAAATATCGCAAACCAAGAGCACAATCAAGAATCACGAAAGAAAAGTACACACACCAAATACAAAGATTTATGTGGTTCAGCACAAGCCTACTTCTATGGACCATGGTGAAGATCCGATGGAGGATTTCACTATGCGAAAAAACAGGAGATTACAAGTTTCAGCCGCCGCCCCCACCCCAAAAAAAAAAAAAAAAAAAAAAAAACAAAACCCTAATTCTCTCTCTTTCCGGCAATTTTCAGTGTTCTCTTATATCGTACTCCAAACCCTAAATGCCCTGGGCTACAAAAGAGTTCTAAACATGGTCCAAGACCCACAAAAGCCCATTTTCGGATTGAATCCGGCTGGAAAAAAAATTGGGTCACAACATCACAATGGTGTAATCTGAAAATGAAATATTTTATATAGAAACTGAAATAGTAAAAGATGACTCGGTGGACAATCTGTTCTCATGTTTGTTTAAACTATTACATCCACTTATACAGTAAAAAGGACTTGTTTATTTTTATATACTTGTAAATTTAAATTTTTTGCTTTATCATATTTTCCTCTTCTCTTTATAATTTTCATTCGTCTCACAAAGGCAAAAGCCTGAACCTCATCTCCCACTTACATTGATTGGAAAACAAAGTGGTTTTGCTGTAGCCAAGCACCAAGTTCATTCCTATGATACGAGCTCTTTCTTTGTGTCGTAACATGTGGAACTTCCTTTCGTCCCTGGCCTCTTTTCTTTGTTGAACCAATCCTTCGGGGTAGACTAACCTTCTGCCCGAGTGAAGGAGATGTTGCTCTTTGAACTGAGTACTCGGGAAATTTTATTTAGTAATCAGGAAAGATCAAAACAGTGGCCGCAGTTGAACTAATTTTTTACGATGAACTTCTCTACCTTATACATATTGATACAAAATTTCTCTATGCAGACCCATCCTTTTTCTTATTTGGTTGAGTGAAGGTTGTTTTAGTTGTTGACCTATACGTTAAATTTGATGTTTTTAACTATTTACTTTTGTTAAATTATAAATAGTAATTGACTAGTTGTTTGATAACTGTAATTCCTTTACTGTGATTAGAGCTGTCAGCTGTGTATATTTTTTCTTATATGATTGAGTGAAGGTTGTTTTAGTTGCAGACTTACATGTGAAATTTGATGTTTTTAACTAATGTTCAGAACTTTAATTCCTTTATTGTGATTAGAGCTGTATATATATATATTCTTCTTTCCCCGGTGAAGAGCTGTATATACATTATTCCATCTTTGAGCTCCTTTCAGGCTGAGGGATCGTCTGGTCAAAATTATCACAGACTACAGGACAGAAACTTCTCTTAGACATGGGTGTAACGATATTCTTAAGGTACTCAGCTGCAGTCCCTCCTTTTCCCCTTCATTTCCTAATAATTGCTGAAGAAAACAATTTAAAAATGCTTGACAATTGCATTTAACTGTGAAATTGGCAGGCTGATTGTATTAACTTGTTAATTAAATACTATAAAGAAGCAAGACGTGCAGTTTACTTGAGCAATGAAGAAGATGAAGCTCGTGCTAAAAGGGATGACAATAGGGACTCTCAGTCAACTGAGAGAGCACCTAACGTGAGAACCATGGAGGTTAAGTCGAAAACTAGGGGAGGTGGACGGTGTTGCATGTGTTTTGATCCCTTCTTCATACAGGATGTGTCGATCATTGTATTCTTTTGCTGCCATGCTTATCATAGAAATTGTCTTATGGATTCCACCAATTCTGTTAGCGCCAAAAAAGAGGCAGGTGCTACTTCTGGAGAGGCGATATCATATTATTATGAGAATGGTGATGTTAACGACATCGATACCCCTTCAAGTGCCTCTCCGATGCGTTGTATTTTGTGTACTACAGCAGCAGGTTGAGAATATATTGGTTGGGGTAGGGGATGAGGTATTTTTTGTGGGTGGTGTGTGCATATGTGTGCTGTTTATTAGGTCTTGTTGTTGTGCTTCTATTCGCAATAGGCCTTGTATTTATTATTTTATTATTGATGTCTTGGGCGTCATGATGGCTTTTTAAGAGAGCAGTTTCTTGCGTGCGGATGTAGTTTTTGCAGTCCAAAAATGAAAGAAGAAAATGTAGTTTTTGCACATCAACTGAGTTCATAATTTGATTTTTAGTTTCGTGATGGGTGAAAGGCGATGGGAGTTGTTTGAATTGTTGGTAAAAGAATGAGATTAGGGATCTTTCAGCCATGGGTGTAATGCTTAGGCATAACATATTAACACGGCTAGGACACAACGTGAAATACGTGACTTTGAGCTTAGTATAATAGTGTTTGGGTGATAATCATGTCGATTTGAATTGACACTCTAATTTGCCAAGTGCATGTTTCATCCTAGAATTAGTTATCATTAGATTTTAACAAGATGTGTCAACTAAACTTGTTCATGTTTGAAATGACTTGAATAGTCATTTTCAACTTTTATTTTTGGGACAATTTTATCTGCAATTGATGTTGTACTTAAGTTACCCAAACTCAGATTAAATTTCAACGCAAAATCAATTTGGATTGGGCTTGTTACGGGTCAGGCACCCCGAAGTAAATTTTAACTTGTATACCTTTAGAGTTCTGTAAATTGGAAAAGCTAACCTGCCCTCTTTTAATGGGAAGGTAAGCTTTTTCCCAATTTTTGTTGGACAAAAAGTAACTCCATTATGACAGGCCACCTCATTAAAACCATGGACAATAATTTAAAATACCCCACCATTTAATCATTCCACGTTCTCTTCTCTCAATTCCATTTGAGATCGCGCATCTGCCGCTTTGCCTTCCAACCTCATCACCAATGTGAACCTAACTGCAGCTGTTGTCGTATGAATCTCGTTGTTGCCAAGCGTTAGGCATTGGTCCTGATGAACCCCAATTTATTGCCTCTGGTAAACCTATCAAATCCGAATTCATGAACTTCTAAATCCTATTATCTTCATCCTTTCATCATATTTTATTTATACTAAAAAGTTTTTAAAATTACACATAAGCACCCATACATTAAATAAGTAATAACAAATTACTTCCCCCCTTCCCCAAGTTGGTGCAAAAATTATCTATCATGCCCATATTTAATAACATATTTTGAAAGTAAGTCTTGTACATTCCCTTAGTCAAAACACTAGTAACTTGATCAAGTGTGTTGACGTATAGAGTACAAATTAGCCCAAGACAATACTTTTCCTTGATAAAGTGTTTATCAACTTTAATGTGTTTTGTCCTGTCGTGTTGAATTGGATTGTGTGCAATGTTAATAGCAGCCTTGTTGTCACAATATAGGAAAATCCAACTCATCCAACATAAGAACATTAGAAATGTTGGTTCATATGAAGCTCTCGAGTATGGTTCATTGCAGGTTACCATTATGGCAGCTGAAATGGTATAACAACATATATATATATATATACACTCAGGCATACCATTCAAGTCATACTACAAGAAGGATATACTCATGGCACCTGTAGCCAATCATTGCCGAGAGAATGTTCTGACATTTTTCATGTGAATATACTATTATACCCTTGCCAACTCAGCTATTTTGTCCTTTAGTATACCAGAAATTACTGCTCACAATATGAAGGTTGTAATAATATTCTTATCAAAGACTTGGTGATTAAGAAATGCAATGAGGTATATACACTCTCACTCTAGGATCACGTGTCACACACTTGAGCTTCAAGTAGAAAGACCAAAATACTTTTATAACAACCACTTGTCATTCTCAGCCCAAACCTATTGTTGAGACTGTATAATTCACAATTTAGGCTAAATCACAGTTGTTCAATACAATGCAGCTATTTGAACATATGCAAAAACATATAATACAATTGTTAAAAGACCATAGTACCCCTGAAAATCCCTATAGCTAATTTTCATATGCTGAACCTTAGTTAACATAGAAAATAGTCTGAATAACCATTGTGATATTGTGTCACATGATGGTAAAAAACTATACTACGCTTGTGTGATGATATAAGCCACAATACACATCAACGGTGATCAAATAAGCCGGTGACAGCTCTGTTACACCAGGTTTTAACATTAAAAAGGCAAACTCCAATTGGTACTAACTAGGACCAACATTATGGGCGACGAAAACTAATGGTGTAAGAATTGTGTACATAAATAATGTCAGTTAATTTACAACTAAATGTTAGATTATATTTTATCTGGAAAACAAATTCAATCCACCAAAATTGTGAGAGAAATTATTAAGCTAATCCAATCCCAAAATTATTAAAAATTTAGTTCAAAATGATCTAAATAATAGGGCCGTTAACAACATATCTAGAAAGCCCCGAATACTCAAATATGTCTCCCGAACGATAAAAAATGGAGAACATGATCATAATACATTTCTACTAGTCCCAAATTCGTAGAAATGTTCCAAACAATCCCCAAGACCCACGTGGCATGCAAAATGAGGTACGGTAAAATAATAATATAAAAAGAATTAAAAATAAAAACCGAAAAATCTGAATTTTTTTTGGGACATAATAGAAATGGGGTTTATGGTTGAATGAAGGGGTTTGATGGGTATAAACATGGTTTTGATCGTAAATAAAAAGGTTTGATTGATCAAAGTTTGAGGTATGATTGATCGGGTCTGATAGTGGTTGTGTATGTTCTATGGCACTATGTGTCGTTGTGTGTGTTAGATGTTGAGAGATTGATGTGTGGGAGGGAAAGGGAAAGGAAAGGAAAAGTTGATCAGGAAACTGAAAGGTTTGTGTGTGTTTTTTTTTGTGTATGATGATGGCACATGTACTATAGAGTTATAGAGAGATCGTAGAGAGAGAGTGATTTGGCAGGAGTTGATTAATAAATAAGGGTAGTATTTGATGCATGTCAAATGTCTACCACTCGTAATAGTACGAATCTTTGTAGGATAGGACTTTATAGATGGTGTTAATCCCACAGGGAGATAAGTGTTCTTTGTTCTGTTTCCAATTAATCCAATTTTTCTGGTTTAAAGGTAACTGATTTGATTTGATTGATTTCTTGTCACGAACATAAAATAAAATTAAACTGGAATTAAAATTAAGAGATCAGAGAGAGAAAGTGTCTTAGGGCTTGACTTCACCACAAACCTTGTACTATGGCCAATTGTTCAACCTTGGGATTTAAACAATTTATATATTCAATGAATTAAACTCAATAACATTCGTGTAATTCGGTTTTAAAGAAAGATATTTTATAAATTTCAATTAACTATAACCTGTCTGCAGTTAGCATGGACTACTCACCTACCTACTTCTAACTACTTTAACTAATTTTGTAGTATAATCCATCTTTCCTAAGCATAGACTATGAAAATATTCTTTGATAAAAAACATTGGAACACCATTGATGCGACCCGAGCGTGTGCACAAAATAATGCACAACACTTTGAGTTTAGAAATAGTGTCAAGTGGGCATCATATTTTATAATTTATAAAACCGCTTAACACCTATACTATGTAGTATGAAGTGAGAAAGGATTGTCCCAAGAAATTAAACACGTAGTTGGAATTTTAGTTTCAACTCTAGTGATTCAAAAGATTGCAAAGAAGGTTGGTTTAGTGACTTAACTACTTCAATTAATTAAATTGCAAATAAAGTAAACTAAGTTGAGATAGGGATTTAAGAGATGAGAAGAGAGGCTTAGGGCGTTGGAATTGCCACCAAGCTAGTTCACCAAACCACACACTTTCAACTAATTGGGGAAAACCTTCTTGCGAACAAAATGCGACTATTAATTGTGATATTAAGCATGGACCATCAAATTCAAGTATGAATTGTCTACTTAACTACAAACATGAATAAAGGTGTAGAACAACCCATCAATTCTAAGCATGATCCATTAAATTAGTCACAGTTTTAGTATACATCAATCAAGAGAATTATAGAATTTGCAATAATAAGCCATGGAGTACCAAATTCAAGCATAAATTGTCTACCTAACCAACAAGTTAACTAAATGTAAAACAACCCATCAAGTATAAGAATAATCCATCAAATTAATTGACAAACCCATCTAATAAAAATCATGCCTAGCCATCACTAAATTCTTAATTTATCACATATGGACATGCAACCAACATAGATAATCTAGTATAGATATCAATTCTCAAATAATCACACATAAAACAACATGTAATCATATAGAGAATCAATAGAAAGAATTAATCCATAGAAATCAAAGGAGAACTCAAGATTCATTTTATACATACGGCTATAGCATTAATTACAAGATAAATCCCCCAAAAAGTTAAAAAGAAGGGTTTAGATTTACAAACTTGGGGCTCATCCAAGCCCCAAGGAGAAGTTTAGCCAATCATGGAGGAGGTGAATGTAATCTTGGAACCCTCAAGAGCAATCCCCAAACATGGCTCCATCTTCTTCCTCTTCTTCTTTGTTGAATTCTAGAGAGAGATAGTGTGTAGATCTTGAGATATGTTCTTGGTCCCTCCACTCTTCCTCATTTTTTCTAACCCTAATATTTAAATTTTTAGAAAGAGAAAACTAATCTAAGCACTATCTATTTTTAGCTAAAGTTGGGAACAAAAGTTGGAACCCTACAAGATGGTCCAATTTCATTTAAATACAAGCCTCTTTGAGTAGGCAAGAAGTTAGAAAATAGGAATTTTATTGGTTTAATCCCGCAGCTACAAAAGTTGGTGAAGTTTGGGCGCGCTCGGGAATAAAATAGCTCACTGCCAACAGGATCTTCAATCGATCGAAGATGGGTTTGATGGATCAAATCTTACTTTGATCGATCGAAGTTGATGTGGCATGAAAAATATCTTCTAGGCCTTATCTGGATTGCTGAATTAGCACCGCCTTCACTTCAATCGATCAAAGATCTTGTCGATTGATCGGGAACTCTTTCGATCGATCGAAGACTGTCCAGTGTAGTTTTTTCTGACTTTTTTAGATTTTCTTCTTGACTCCAAAAAGGAGCTAATAGGCTCTTTTTAGCCTGTTTAAATCTTATTAATCTGAAGTAGATAAAAACTAAAACGGGAAAGTAAGATAGATGAATAGACTAAAATACCCTAACTTAGGTGTTAAAATGTGCAACATTTGAGCACTTTTCACACCCCCAAACTTAGATATTGCTAGTCCCTAGCAATAAACTACAAAGAAAATGAAGA